ATTGGGTTGCAGAGGGAGCCCTCAGAAGCCAGCCCTTTCAGGAGATGAAACTCAGCCAGAGGACGGATTGGCCTTCTCCATGAGCTAGGCTGATGCTCAACAGATGGAAAAAGCGCACCCCAATGACAATAATCAATAACCAAAGGCTGGCAGCTGCTGCAGCATGGCCTGAGGGACCCTTGGGGGCTTGGCTCTGCCCTCTTTCTCACACCCGATTGAGTCCAGCCCGGAGCCCATCTCACCCACCTCCCCGAACCAAGCTCCGGGAGAGCGGACAGGCGAGGGAGGAACCATATTTCACATACTTTCTCTTTCAAAATGTAGCCCTGTTTCGCAATTTCCTACTTAAGTTCTGGAAGGCTCTAGGGTAGGACCCAAGCCACCTTCTCCAGCCACTGACCTGGGTCTCTTATCCTCCTCACCGCCAACCTGGTAAGCTGGAGGTGCCCGAGAAAGTGGGGCCCACGTTTAATAGGTCCCACTGCCCCCCATCTGTAGCTGTTCCTCCAGATTCTATGCAATGCTGAAGAAGCCCCAGCTAAGCCTCCAGCCAAAACCTGTTTATTCTTCACCCCGTGTCAGCTCTTTCTCTCAAGAGAGAGCCAGGCGGCTCACCACACCAAAGCAGGTGCACCCAACTGTGGTATGCTCAGTCACAGCAGCCCCCGAGGCACGTAACCTTCTGATCTTCTCTACTCCCCTACAGCCAGGCTTTTGTTCTGTCTCACTCTTACTCTCCAGACAGTCCTCTAGGCCCTTTGCAATGGATCCACTTCATCTTTCAAAATGGAACCTATTCTCTCTGGTTGTTGATGTTGTTGCTTTCCTTCTTTACCACCTCTTAGCAGGGTTTCCACCTGTTGTCTGTTTCAACCTGGTCTGGACCACAGCTGGAAGCATCAGGGGCAAAAAACAGCAAGCACCTGATTCTGGCTCTGTGTCGACTTGACTCAGGGCCTAGGAAGCTGACCCTTTTCCTAAATTCCCTCTCAGTCTTTCTAACCCAAATGAAAGCAAACAAACCAGAGGGGGACAAATACCCCCCCCCAAGAAAACAAAAACAAAACAAAAACCCACAATCCCATCAGGCAAAATATTGAAATGGAAAATAAATCCATTCTCTGGAGACTTGGTCTGAAACATACCAGAGCAGGCCCTGGGTAAAGTGGCCAGAAATGTGTTAGTCTGGACAAGTCTGTGACCCTGTAGAGGAAAAAGCTAACATTTTCCAAATGGCGATGTGAGCAGGTAACAGCCTGCTCACAAATTCTGTGCTGCTGTTGCCTAAACTCGGTAGCAGGGTTAGGAACTTTGACATGACTCCCTCTCTCCAGCACTCTGCTCACTCTGAAAATCGCCTATGGCTTCCGATCAATCCTTATGGTCTCTGGCCTCAAGTGGGCTGCTTCTAGGGCTGAGAAGAGGTAACTGCTCCCCATCTTGAAACCCATACCCCAACTCCAGCTCAAAAAAGGCTACTCTTACTCTTGAAAGGGCAGAGTGAGACAGACAGGAGTAAGTCCAAGTGGGGCTAACTTTTTTCAGAGATGTACTGGCATCACACCTGGAAGCACCCGGCATGTCAGTGTCAGGAGATTTCCTTCCCACTAGTCATTCTGCGGATGTGAAAGCTCATAATGTTCCCTCCCTTAGCTGCCTAGAGCTTCAGGAGCAGCTCTAGGAGGCTCAAGGAGGTGATGCGGAGAAGCTGAATGTCAAGGTGATGCAGGAGGTACATACAGCAGGATCCAGGTCATTCTGTGTTGCTAAGATTCTGGATTGTTGTTCTGATGCTATTGTAGAGGAAAGATTAAGGCAATGCTTCTCAGACATTTATCGTGTGCATGAATTACCTGGAGGACCTGTTATAAGGCAGACTCAGGTTCTTTAGGTCCGGGTGGGGCCTCAGAGTCTGCATTTTTTAACAAGCTCCCTGATGAGACTGAGGTTGCTGATCCTAGGCCATACTTTTTTTTTTTAAGATTTTTTTTTATTGGGGAATTGGGGGGATAGGAACAGCACTGGGGAATTGGGGGAAGGGGAACAGACAAGTTCCTGTCTTTTTGTTCTTCAGTCTAGTTGTGGAGGACGTTGCTTCACCGGCCCAAGCTGGCACCATCATTGCGCTCTTCCCGAGTGAGGCAGATCAGTCGTCGGCTTCTGGACGGCCGCTCACGGCGGCTTGAGGGCTGCTCACGCTGGCTGCTGGCTACACACGGTAGCCCATGGCAACCCACTGCCACAGGGGCTGCAGCCTACGCCGTCGCCGGCGACTCATGGCAGCCCAGCTCCAGGTTGAGCTGTTGTTCAGCATCTTAGCTGTAGAGGGCAGCGTCACTCGCCCTCATATGTGGGATCCGAACCGGGGCCCTCTGGCGTCCCAAGCCAGTTCTTAACCATTGCGCCACTCGGCCGGCCCCCTAGGCCATACTTTGAGTAGCGAGGACCTAAGGATCTGGGAGACTGGGACAAATCAGAGCCAGAGCCACCTGAGACACACAGGGATTGAAAATTTATACCCAGGAAAGCGACAGGAAAAACAGCGAGAAACAACAGCACATACAAATAGAATCAGAGGCTGAGGTGAGAACAGAGAAAGGGTGACAAAAAGAGGGACAGAAAAGGGGACAGAGTCAGAGAAACAGGGGGGTGCTGAGGCAGAGAGGCCAAAATCGGAGACGGAAGGCTGATAGGGCTGGAGAAACTGGAACAGACAGAGCCAGGGTCAGGGAGCAGAGGCAAGGCAAGGAGCTGAGGGAGCAGCCGGAGATGGCAGTGGGCAGCCTGTCCACCCAGGCTCCCGACCAGCAGTGAAAGGGCTCACAGGTGTGGGTGGGACGAGCCCCACAGAGTGTCAGGTGCACAGGCCTGAGATGCCGCACCCTCCAAGCCTCCCCACCTTCCTACACCTGCAGCACGTTCTGCTTGCTTGCGTAAAGCGGTCCCTCCCCGCAGAGCCTGCCACTACTGACTTCCCCATTCTCTCTCCTATGTATTCATCCCCTTTCTCTTAACTGGACCCTTCCCAGCAGGTTTTAAACATTTTCAAGTCTTTCTCACCTAAAGAAAAAAAAAAGACTCTCTTGACCCCATATCTTTCTAGCTCTTGGCCTATTTCTCTCCTCCTTTTCTCAGCTAAACTTCCTGAAGGAATTGTCTGCACTGCTTTCTGCCTCCATCAGCTTCCCCAAACAGCTCTTGCTAAGGTTACTACTGACACATGTGTTATAAGTCCAGCCATCGATTTCCAGTCCTCATCTACTTGGTCTCTTAGCAGCCTTTGGTTCTCTTGATCTCCCCTCCTGTTTTCTGGCTTCTGGGTTATGACACTGCCCTGGTTTACCTCTCTCCTGCTCCTTCTCTGACTCTTTTGCTCACTGATCCTCCTTATCTTCATTCATAGTGGGCCATAGAACTGAGTCCTGAGCCCTCTCATTACCCAGTGCTTTTATTTTTATTTTATTTTAGTTTTTTTAAAGATTTTATTGGGGAATTGGGAGGAGGGGAACAGCGTTGGGGAATCGGGGTAGGGGAACAGACAGGTAGACAAATTGCTGTTTTTGTTCTTCAGTCTAGTTGTGGAGGACGTCGCTTCACTGGCCCATGTTGGTATGATCATTGTGCTCTTCCCAGGTGAGGTCATCGGTCACCGGTCATTGGTCAGCAGCTCACACCGGCTGCCGGCCGCTCATGGTAGCTCATGGCAGCCCACTGCAGCCCCGCTGCAGCCCCGCTGCAGCCTACGCCGTCGCTGACGATTCACAGCAGCCCAGCTCCAGGTTGAGCTGTTGTTCACCATCTTAGCTGTAGAGGGCAGTGTCACTGGCCCTCATGTAAGATCTGAACCAGGGCTCTGCTGCTCAGAGCTGGAGCCCTAAGTGAGCTCTTAACCAGCTGAGCCACTCAGCCGGGCCTACCCAGTGCTCTTTTAAATCAACCTCTTCCAAACCCAGAGCCTCAATTACCATCTCTACCTCAGTTTCTACTCCAGCGTGGGATTCCCCTGTGCACTCTACACCTGTGCTTGTGTCTACAAAATGGCTACTCGCCATCTTCACCTGGTTGTCTCAGAGGCACATCCAACTCAACCTGGTCAAAACCGAACTTATGTTCTCCCTTCTCCTCCCAAACTGACCAGCTCAGAACACAGCACCATCATCTGTCTATGTGTTCAAGCCAGAAACGGGGATTTTGTCCTTGACACCTCCCTCTCCCTTTCTCCCCTCTTCCATATCCAGTTTATCACTGAACTCTGCTAACTTTATTCTCCAAATGCCTTTTGACTTCTCTCCATTGCCACTGCCACCGCCTTAGCCAAAGCCTTCAACACTTCTCACCTAGATGACAGCAACAGCCTCCTAAGTATCTTCTCTCTAATCTGTTTTCTATACTACAGCCAACATGATCTTTGTGAAATACAAATCTGATCATATTGACCTGCAGCTTAAAAACCCTTTAGCAGCTTCTCCTGGCTCTAAGAATAAAGACCCAACTCCAGGCGACCTTTCTGGGATCATCTCACCTCACTTGCCCTCCAGGCCTTTCAGCTATCTTGGCTTTCTTTCAGTTCCTTCAACGCCAAGCTCCCTTCTGCCGTAGGACATTTGCATGTGCTATGCCCTCTATAGAGAACTATGCTGTCCAATACAGTAGCCACTAGCCACATGTGGCTGGTGAGCACTTGAAATATGGCTAGTGCAGCTGAAGAACTGAATTGTTAATGTTATTTAGTTTTAATTAACTTTAAAATTTAACACATACTCAATTCCGTTATTGACAAACTTAACTCTGCTTGAAACAACTTGAGTTTGTGAATCTGCTTCTCAACTTTAATTTTTATGAACGCTAAACACAGCTCAAGTATTTCTGGTGAAAGTTTCGTGTCTAAATTAAGATATGTTATAAAGTGTAAAAATACACACAGAATGTTGAAGAGTTAGTTTCAAAAAAAAATGTAAAAGAGCTTGTTAATTTTTGATATCGATTACATGTTTAAAAAGATGAACATTTTGCATGTTTGGTTCAATAAAAGATATAATCAAAATTAACTTCACTATTTCTTTTTACTCTTTAAGTGTGGCTACTAGAAAATTTTTAATTACATAAACGGCTCATATTATATTTCTCTTAGGCAGCACTGGTCAAGAATACTATCCCTTCTCTTTGTCTCAACTCCTTCTACTTGTCCTTCAGAGCTTGGCTCAAATATCACCTCCTCTGAAAAGCTTCCCTGAGATAAAGCCTTTGACTTTTATTCACTTTATTCACTTTCACAGCTATGTGTCTGTGCCAGTGGTTGCCTGCCCTTAACTCTTTAAATGATTACATGATTCACACCTGTCGCCCCCACTAACTTCTATGCTCCATGGGAGCAAGGCCCGTGATTGGCTCAGCTCCAGAAACCAAACACTTAGTCCAGAGTCTGGTGCACGGATGGCCGCCAGTGGACACTCCTGAAGGCCATAAGAGGTGATTCCACCCGCTGTTCTGCCCTTGAGTCCAACTGTCACCAACTCTCCCAGAGCACCGCCTCCCCCAGGAGTGCCACTCAGCATGCAGACTCCACCTCTCCCAGATGGAAAGTCTTCCTCCATAGCTGACAAAAATCCCTTCATCCTTCAAGGTAATCAGAGCAGCGCTTCTCAGATTGGAATGTGCACATCAGTCACCTGGAACCTTGTTAAAATGCAGACTCTGTTCCACCAGGTCTGGGATGGGACCTGAGATTCTCATTTCTAACAAGCTGCCCAGTGATGTGTTAATGCAGGTCCCTAGACCACACTCTGGGTATAGGGGAGCTGGCTGTCACCCTGAGGACCCACAAAGTTTCCTCCTACTCTGTCCATTAGGGGTCTCTTAAATTCAGCTGCATCCCTTCCTGCTCCCATGCGTACCCCCCGCCCCAATCCCTGTACCCTGAAAAAGAATGTGGTTCCTGTGGCTACTGTTGTCATTTGGTTTCTGTTTTTAATTTGAAATAAACCTTTAAGCAGTTTTCAGAGTCAGGGCAGCCCTGATATGGACCATGGATGTGTCACAATACTCTCCAGTGATAAAGTCACACGGCTGGAAATGCTGAACAGTCCTCACGCTTTGGCTTGTCTGCCACTCTGGGTCGATCCTATCAGCTCCTCCAGAAGCCATCACTCTGCAAAAGTTTGGGCCTGGGTGCTGGGAAATGTTCCCTCTGCCAATCCACTGTTAGCATCGCAAACCAAGGGTGTGCTGTTGGGCCCTCTTCCAGGCAGGGATGACCTCTTCACTTCCCCGCCTTGTTCACATCATGATGTCCAAGGGATAGAAGTGTCTTCCAGTGGCCTTGAGTGTGTGTGTGTATGTGTGTGTGCACACGTGTGCACGTGTGTGGTTGCATGTTTGGACATGGGGCCTGTGCGTCCATGTATGTATGCAGAGTGTATGTACGTGTTGCCCCCGGCACTCTAGTTCAGTAAGGCTTCCGTCACACAGAGCAGCGCAGGACTCTTGCTTCATGGGCCTGGAGGCTGAAGAATGTCCCTAGGTGGGTCCTGCTGATGTGAGCGGCCCCACTGTCCCGAGCTGCTGTAGCTGTTGCTGGCCCTTGCGTCTCCGAGAGCCTGTGCCCACCTCTTTGCTCTCCTTTCTGCTCGGGTTCCTGTTGGCATTCTCCCGCCGGCCCTGGCCTCCCTTCCTCCTCTTCTGCCCTGCAACCCAACAGCAGGAAGAGTCAACAAAAGATGTCCTACTGCAGGCAGGGAGGCCCCGGGGCATGGCCAAGGGCCCTAGGAGAGGACTGGTAAGGGAGCTGAGCAGGGGAGGCAGGGAAGAGGCTGGAGATGCTGCCTTTGGCAGTTGGGGTCTTCTTACGGCCTCCCCTGGCCATCTGCCACTTCAGAGAACCCTGCAGCATGGATACTGAGAGGGGGGGTCCCAAGAGCCTTTATACCTTCTACCCCTCAATGAACCAGACACCTTCCTCTTCCTCATGTCTTCCTTGAACCTTGGACCCCAGTGGGTCAAGATGTTTAGCGCAGCCTTCAGGACAGGCAGGCTGGTCCTCAGCCCCCTCTGGGGCCATCTGCCACATCATTGCCAACTGTAGGCTGAGTGACCTTAGTCAAATCACTACACCTCTCTGGGCCATAGCATCCCCTTCCATGCCCCATCTGACCTCTGAGGGCTCTACCAGTGCCACTATCTGCTGGCTCAGAAGAAATGGAGAAACTGGAAGGATATGGACACAGAAGTTCTCAGCCCCCATCACACAGAGTTCTGGGTCTCTGCCAGGACCTGGCACTGGTTTGCACAGGATAGGGTCTTAAGTTGGGGGCTCCCCATATCTGTCCCCAGCCTGAGACCCTCTCCTGGGTAACAGGCAGAAAACAGAGGTGGTCACACCTCCGTGGCTGTGCCTGACCCCTGGCCCCAGAAAGGTGGAGGTTGCAGCTCACCCTCAGGGCAGGGAGTCCTCCGCACTGTACATCTCCGGATCTCCTTGGTGTCGGAGCAGATGGCATGGTCCCCCCCAGGGGCATGGAGCACCCTCCGTGTCCGCTCCTCAGAGCCCCTCCGGAAACCACAGAGCCTCTTCTTCTTGGAGCATGGCCCCCAAGGGGACCACTCACTCATTTCACATTGTGCTGGCAGGAATAGAGGGAAGAGGGAGAGAAAAAAGAGGAGAAGGGGTCACATCTCCTCCCCTGGCCCAGAATTCCCCAGGGGAGCTTCTCCCACTTGCTCTCTCTCTGCCTGGGGCTCAGGCCCAGAGGGCAGAAAAGTCCTGAGAGAAACCCCAGAGGGTGGGGGTGGGGTAAGCTTCCCTGGACAGTGCCCCAGCCCACGTTCTCCCTGGCCTGCCCTCCTGGGGACCTGGACCCTCTGCCCACAGTGCCCACGGTGCCTTACCAGGACTGCTGCACTCTGTGGTGCCATTGGCAGCTGCAGAGCCCTCGGGACAGTCTGGGTAGCAGCGGCCCTTGTGCAGGTACAAGCTCTCCTTACACTTGGTACAGAAGTTGTGGCTGAAGCAGGCCTCGCAGTGCTCAATCTTGCATTCTGAAGAGAGGACCAGAGTGGGGGCCTTTGATTCAGCCCGGAATGGACACGTCCCCTCATCCCCATCTCAATGCCCACCAGTCCAGGCCCACCCATGTTGGGAGCAGGACAGTGGCTTGGAGCTGGGAAATGCGAGAGGAGTCTTGAGAAGAAGGGAAAGGCAAGGACAAGGCCAGGGGAGAGGAGCGAGGAGGCTGAAGTGGCCACTCACCAGGGTCAGCCAATCCCAACCCAAACCCTGGAACCTGAGGTGAGGCTCGGGGTGAGGCCCACGAGAGCTGGTTTCAGATGAGGAGGGCAGAACCTTCTGGAATTAGCGGGGGTGAGTAAGGAGGGTCCTAGCCTCTCATAGCACCCCAGAGGGCCACCTATTCCCCCTGAGTTGAACTGAGGGATGCAGTGACCCCCTGATTGTGGCTGTGTGGTCCCCTCTTCCCCCATTGCTGGGTCTCCACAACACCCCAAACCCGGGATCTCTTCCAACCGGGTAGAAAGAATCAGCTTGGAGGAGGGGAAAACAATCCCAGGGCAAATTCCTCTCCCTCTGCAAGTTAAGTTCCAGGAACCGCCTTGGTTGGACTACTGGGTCCCTCCCTGATCCCCTACTGCCAGCTCTCCCTCCTCTAGGGAAGGGGGGGGGGCGTTGCAGGGCTGGAGAAACAGGCAGGGTCTTTCACAATCTCTCCCTTCTCTGATTGTGGGCCGGGCTAACTTCCTCCCAGTCTCTGGCACCTGGAGCCTGGGCTGCCAGTTTCCCAGGAGCTGGCATGGCCAGAAACTCCCCATCCCAAATACCCTGAGGACCAAGAGGGAAGCCCCAGGGTCCTAGGAAACCTCACACGCTCCTCTGTGCCTCCTGGCCTCTGTGGCTTTAGCTCAGCTTCTCCTCTCTCCCTCCTTCCTTCTCTCCTGCTCTGATTCCTGGTTTTGATTGCAGGTGGAATACAGTAAGAACAACAGCAGCTACCATCGATTGAGTACCAGACAGAAAGGGCTTCACATATGCCTCTCACAATGACCCCAGGGGTAAAAACTAGAACTCCTGTTTTAAAGATGAGGTTTTCAGAGGCTGTAACATGCCTAAAGTCACACAATGAATAGGTGGTAGAGTTGAGAGTAGAGCCCCAGTCATTTCTCCTCCAGGCCTCACTGTCTTCCTCCAAAGGGCGTTGTGAACTCAACTGACATGAGGTCTGGAAGTGCGTTCCAAACTTCAAGACACTGAACAAATGGGAGGGAGCCCTGGCTTTGTTCATTGGACTGTGTTCACAGCATGTTCCCCAGGATGTCACAGCTGAGACAGGATGGAGGTGTGACAGTACATGCCTTGAAGCACATGAAGCTGTTGCTGATATGAGAGAGAGGAACAGAGTGAGAAGGAGAAGAGCAGGCTGACTGGGGCCTGAATTTCTCTGCAGCCAGTAGAGCCAGTGGTGGTTTCTAAGCAGAAATATGATGGGATAGGTTTTGTGTCTCAGAAGCATCTTTTCTGGCCACAGTATGGAGAGAAGATGGAAGGAAATCAGATGAGGGTTGGAGGACAGATAGATAGACTATTGCAATAGTTCAGGAGAGAGGTGGCAGGGGCCTGGGTAAGGCAATGGCAGGAGGATAGAAAGGCGATGAAGCAGCCATGATTTGGTTATTGGCTGGATGGGGGATGGCATAAATGAGAGGCTGGTTATCAGGTCTCTGGCTTGGGTGATGGGACACAGTGATCTGTGGGACTACAGGTTGGCGCAGGTCTGGAGAAGGAGATGCAATTCTGATATGGACACACTGAGCTGGAAATGCAGATGGGATATTGAGGAAGATGTCTGGCCAGCAGCCACATTCTAGAATCAGAATTCCTATCGCCCCTCCTCAGGGTCCCCCCTAATCCTCTTGCTGGCCACCAACAGGTCAAACTACCCTCCCCCAGTATCCAGAGACTCTGGCGCCCCTCTCCAGCCCTGCCCACACTCACTGATGCACTTGTTCATGTCGGGGTTGCGGGCATCGAAGTATCCAGGAGGGCAGGACGGCAAGCAGACGCCCACCTGACGGATGTCGTTCCTCTCCAGCAGGATGAACAGCTTGGGCGAGCACTTGAGGCAGCCGTTGACCTCAGAGCAGAGCTCACAGCCTTTGGCACAGGCCTGGCTCCCCTCGGCACTGACTGCAAGGGTGGAACAAGGGTGAGAAGGTGGCTGTAGGAGAGACCTCTGTTTTTCCCAGGCTCCCACAAAGATGGGCAGTGAGTAGATTGGAGTTTCCTTCAACAGAATGAATATGCTTCCCAGAAAGCACAGGCCAGGCTGGCAGCTCTCTGCAAGGCTGCTTTATAAACCTCCCCAGTGTCCTCTCTCAAGGGAACAGACACCTGAAGCAAGAGCTCCCTTCCATCTTAAATGCCTCCATAGCTGTAGGCGCAACACAAGCTCACCCTCCAGGCTCGCTACACCATCCCCAGAGAAGCTACTGAAGCTGTGCCTTTCATGCACTTTACCCCTACCTTCCCCAGAGAAAGAAAAGCTCAGCCTCAGGTATGAAAGGAGGGTTTTTTGTTTTTTTTTTTTTAATTCTTGAGAAAGTTGTAAGGACAAAAGGGATCATAGGTTAAACTACCTGAGAAAAAGATCAGCTGCCCAGAGACAGGAAGACATCTAGAATAAACTTGTCTAGAACGGTAGTCTTAACCAGAGACAATTTTGCTCCCCAGGGAACATTTGGCAATGTCTGAAGACATTTTTGATTGTCATACTGGAGACCAGGGTTGCAACTGGCATCTAGGGGAGAGGGGCCAAAAATGCCGGTAAACATCCTGCGCATGGGGCAGTCCCCACAACGAATTATCTGGTTCAAAATGCCAATGGTGCTCAGGTTGAGACACCCTGGCTTAGAACCAGCCTTTGAGACAATGTGCTCTCCAGCCCCAGCAGCAAGTCTCAGAGCTTTGATCTCCTTCCTTCATCCACTTGTTTAACCAACACCCGCTGAGCCCCTCCTAGGTACCTCACGCAGTGGGAGCACTGGGGGCGAAGATGCCTAGTCACTTCACTGATCTTTCAGTGGTGCAGACAGACCCACAAACAGGCAAATGCTGACAGTCATTTAATGGACCCAAAAAGAAGAGAGGGAAAGAGTGACAAAGGAGGTGCCATTCGGGCAAACTCTTGAGAAGTTAGTAGAGATTTGTTCATTAGGAAATAGAGATAAGGGCCCTCTAGGAGTAGGACCACAGAGGCGTCAAACAACCCAAGGGGACTAGCAGATAATTTGCGGGGCAAGAAGGGTGAGAGGGGAGTGGTGAAAGATAAGGGGTCCTATCTTGCAGGGCCTTTTATATCATGCTAAGCAACTTGCACTTGATCTTGCCAGGCAGCGTTTCCTAAAGAATATTCCTCGGAACATGATTCCCCTCCATGTTCGTAGGGGACTGTGGAGAAAAGGTCACTGATTCAGGCAGAGAGAAGAGGGTTTGAGGGCCAGCAGTGGGACAATATGAGCTGACATGGAAACTGAGAGTAAGGCTAGACTGATTTTCCTAAAACATATAATTGATTTGTATACAGTCAATGTTATTTAATTAATCGATAAATTAAAAACTGAATATTGTTCTTGTTGATTTAGTCGTTACGAGAGGAAAATGAGTCCAAATGTTATCTTGGAGTCATGAGAGAGCCCTTGGGATCAGTTTTCCACTTGGGGCCTTTATTCAGCTATATTACAAATTAATAAATCACTGTAGACATTAGGTACCATTTCTACTTCAAAGATATTAACTCCTCTATTACTCAAGGATTTTACTTAATTCGTTGTTGAATTGAATGCTCCCTCTAGGTTTTTGCATTGGTTTCAATCACCGAAGTCATCCAGGTGTCCCATTTGCAGCCTCTACAGCTATGTTTGTAATCATGTTTTCCTTTCTTACCACTTTTGTTCAGGGCAGATTTGCAAAAAGCCTTCTCAGAATGCTCCTGCCTGCCTCCTATTCAACCAACAACAAATCTCTGAGTGCATTTTCCCTCAGATCTGTCCGTGACACGGCAAGAAAAAGTGTGGCACATGTGGGGATCTGAAATTAGTTCAGCATGGCTGGAACCTGGAGTGGTTAGACCTGAACCTGGAGAGGGAAGCAGAGCCCAGATGGGGAAGGGTCTTAAACGCATATAGAGGAGTGTGGACATTATCGTAAAGGCAATAATGAATCACCGTGAGTTTAAAATAAGAGGCATGGTGGGCGGCCGGTTAGCTCAGGTGGTTGGAGCGCAGTGCTCATAACACCAAGGTTGCCGGTTCAATTCCCACATGGACCACGGAGCTGCACCCTCCACAACTAGATTGAAGACAACTACTTGACTTGGAGCCGATGGGTCCTGGAAAAACACACTGTTCCCCAATAAAATTTCTTTAAAAAAATAATAATAAATAAAATAAAATAGGCACGGTCAGGATTCCACTTTAGGAAGATCACGCTTATATACAGGGTGGATTAGATGGAAGGAAGAAGACACGTAAGATATTCAGGCCAGACAAGACTAGGTGATGTCGGGGAAAGTACAATGGAGGATGCCTTGGAGGTGCTGGGCTTGGGTGACAGGATAGCTGTGGGCTCTTCACTGAGAGAGGGACCACAGGAGGAAGAGCAGGTTTGGGTGCGGAAAAGATGAGTAGTTGAGTTTCAGATGCATTGAGGTTGTGGTTCCTGTGGGACACCCCGGGTAAGGTGTCTACTAGGCAGTTGAACCAGTGGGTCTGGAACTCAAGAGAAACATTTAGGCTGGAGATTGAGACATGGAGTCCTTAACACGAAAATAGTCATCAAAGGCATGGAGGTCCATGAGATGGCAAGGAGAGTGGGCATAGAGAGAAGAGGAATTAGACATGTAAGAGAAGGACAGAAAAGGATGGACTAGGTTAGAGGCTGAGAAGGAGCAACCAGACAGGTAGGGGACATTCAAAAGCACATCGCATCATGGAAGCCAAAAGAAGAGTATATTCAACAGAGGAAGGAGGTGTCACATGCCAAATGCCACTGAGGTGCCATGTAAGGAACAGCAACAAACAGGTTGTTGGTGCCCTGGGTGGGGGTGGAGAGCAGGGAGCAGTGGTTAGGGAGGAAAAGGAAGGTGAGGAGAGAGGCTCATCTCATTTCAAGAAACCAGCTGCGGAGACGGGGAGAGAACTAAGGGATCCGTCCTGGGAGCCGTCATTGCAGTTAAATCCGTGGGAGTGGAAGGCATCCCAGGGCATGAAGTTGTGCAGCTGGAGAAGAGGCCAAGGGCTGAGGCCCGGGCAATACTCACATTCAACAGACAAGCAGGGGAGAGGGGCGCAGAGAGAAGCTGAGAAGGAACCACTGGAAAGGTGGGAGGGGACTGAGAGAGAGTGGGAATAGACACTGTTGAAAAGGGAGAGGCTGCAGGGACCAGGGCTGGGAGATCACGGCCAGGGAGCTCTGAGGCGAACCTGGAGGCTTGTATTAGGAGGTGACCTTGAGAAGGGCAGTTTTGGTGGGGTGGCAGGGATGAAACCCAAACCACAGTGGGCTGAAGAGTGAGTGGAAGGGACCGGCGTGGGAGTAAAGCAAGAAGAGGGACAACAGAGGGGCCGAGAACATAGAAAGAGAGAGAGAGAGAGGAGAGACCAGCTGGGAGCAAAACTGTGATCACAAGGCTCAGAGGTAGGCTAAAGCCTAAGGATGGGGAAGGCCAAGATACAGAGCCCAGGTGGCAAGATTGGCCTTGAGGCTTGAGGTCAGGATCAAGGGCAAGGGACCAGGGGGTTGAGCAACATGAGGTTTTGGGGCTCTGCAAGGAGGAAGAGGGGTTAAGTGATGGGCAGAGGGGTTAGTTCAATGAGGAAAAGGGTGCTTCTCAAGCGGGTTAGGAACCAAAGGGTGCTCTCAGCTTAGAAAGGCAAATGGATGGGCAGGGAGGGGATGGAGAGCCAGAGGGTAGGGGCACTCTGTGTGTGTGTCCAAGGAAGATAGTGGGTGTTACATAATGATTCAAAGGAAAAAGCCAAGACTCATTCATTCCATGGACATTTACTACACATCTAACACATGCCCAGAGCTGTTAGGAGCTGGGAATGTGGGGGCGTAGCAACACAGGCCCACCTAGGAATGCGGCTGGCAGGGCTGGCTATGCACTGCGGTGAATGGAAGAGCAATGGAAGGCACTCCCTTACCTAGCTGGCTAGGTGAAGAGGGTGTGCCAGACAGGAGGCACAGCCTGTGCGAAGGATCAGAAGCACTGAACGCCCTAGAGCGTCCATGGAATGGAAAATAGGGCTTTATTCTATTGGCAAAGGGTACACCGAGGGGCATGGTCAGATTCACAGTTCGATAGGCTCCCTCAGGCTCCTGTGCCTGACAGGGATGTGGGCCGGGGGCATGGGTAGGGGGGCGGCGTGCAGGGGAGCAGCCCTGCAGGGCTACAGCCTGGTCAAGGAGGCTGGGTGGGCTCAGTGTGTGTGTGTGTGTGTGTGTGTGTGTGTGTGTGTGGAGGGGGGTTCAAAGAGGGGATGGAGCCTGTCCCAACTTCCTCACAAATCCCCCTCACACAGCTCTGCCCTCCCCACCCACCTCACCTTCTCCCTTTGCTCCCAAGCACTCACTGAAGCCCACTTCGCTGAGCCAGACAGGCGAGGCTGTGCCCTTCTCATCTCCTTCTGCTTCATCCTTGTCCAAAACCCTTCAAGTTGATATTAGTATAATCAGGACTTGCCCCAAGGTGGCTTAGAGCCCCTGCCTCCCTGAAGAATGGCTTCTGGCCACAGTCCCTCCTCTTCAAGGCACTTGACTTCTCCCAGTTCCCCAACTTTCTCATCCCCAGGGGTCTTTCTAAAACCAAAACTCTGAGGGTGTCACACCCCTGCCTAAAATCTATCCGTAGTTCCCTAGGCCTGCAGAATTAAGACTCAGTTCCTCCACCTGTCCTAAAAAGTTCCCATGAGCTGATTCCACCTGTCTCATCTCTCAACACTACCCCTAAGCGACATGGAACTATTTTGTTTCTCTGGGCACATCACACTGCTTCACACCGCTATTCCTTTGTGCAAGTTGGCCCTTCTGCCTGGAACACTCTCTGCCTCCTCCTGAGCCTGACTAACCCCTTCAAGCCTCAGAACTAAAGTCACCCCCTCTAGAAAGTCTTCCCCGATCTCATCTCC